GGAACAGCAATGCAGGTGGCACACAAGACAGTAGCATCCAAGCCTACAGAGACCCAATGGAGGAACATGAAACCCAGGCAACTGGAACCAAAGTAACTAAACTCCTACCAAATAGGAGAAGGTGATTGCTGCCACAGACGCACTGGCAGAGGATCAATTAATCAAACGCCATGAAAAACGACAGTAACATGGTAGAACAGAAGGATTATGACAACTCTCCAGAAATCAAATCTGAATTCACAGATTGCAATTTAACTGGCAGAGAATTCAAAATAGCTGTCATGAAGAAACCCAATGAGTAACCAGAAAACTCAGAAATATAGGAAAATTATTCCATCAAGCTCAGGAAAATTATTAATGAACAGAAGGAATACTTCACCAAAGAGATTGAAGCTTTATAAAAAACAAACATACAGAAATTCTGCAGATTAAGGACATAATTAATGAGATTAAAAAAAATAACGTAGAAAACATTAAAAATAGAGTAGACCTTACGTAGGACAGAATTAGTGAGGTTGAAGATAGAAACATAGAAATGATTCAGGTGGAGGAGGAAAAATAACTATGATTGAAAAAAATGAAGAAATTCTTCAAGAAATATTTGCTCCATTAGGAAAAATAACATAACAATTATAGGTATCCCAGAGGGAGAAGAGAGAAAGAAAGGAGCAGAGAGCTTATTCAAAGAAATAATAGCTGAGAATTTCCAAAACCTGGGGAGGGAACTGGACATGCAAGTACATGAAGCTAATATAACTCCTAACTATCTCAATGTAAAAGACCTTCAAGACATATTTTTATATATAATATTAAAACTGTCAAAACTCAATTACAAGGAAAGAATATTAAGTCCAGCCAGATTAAAGAAAATAACCTCAAAAGGAACCCGCATCTGGCTTTCAGCAGATTTCTCAGCAGAAACTATACAGGCTAGGAGGGAGTGGAATGACATATTCAAAATACTGAAAGAAAAAAACTATGATCCAAGAATACTCTACCCGGTAAAAATATCCTTCAGATATGATGGAGAAATAAAAGCTTTCCCAGACAAAAAAAAAGGTAAGGGAGTTCATTACCACTAGACCTGTCCTAGAAGAAATCTTGAAGGAAGCCCTCCTACCCGAAACAAAGGCAAAGGTTTACAGGGATTTTAGCAAGGAGAGAAATAGACAAAATAAGAAAATTGCAGCTCTGTATCAGAATAGGTTAGCAAAGACTAAATTATAACATAAAACATAAAGGGGAAAAAATGCATCAGAATTATAAACACTTCAACTTGGTCCCAAACTCACAACACAAAAAAGAATAAGCTATGACAACAAAAACATAGAAAGGGAAAAAGAAAGATATGGAACCTGCATAAGCTAATGGAGATAAGAGGTGATCAGAAAAAGGACTATCTCATCTATGAGATCTTTTACACAAATCTATTGGTAACCAAAAAACAAAAAATCAGGGCAGAGTAGGCAGTAATACCCACAAATAAATTTAACCAAGGAAGTGAAAGACCTATACACTGAAAACTATAAGATATTATTGAAAGAAATGGAAGATGTCATAAAGAAATGGAGAGATATTCTATGTTTGTGTATTGGAAGTATTAACATAGTTAAAATGTCCATATTACCTAAAGCAGTCTACAGATTCAGTGCAGTCCCATTCAGAATCCTTATGACATTCTTCATGGAAATAGAACAAATAATCTGAAAATTTATATGAAACAACCAAAGACCCCGAATAACCAAAGCAATCCTGAGAAAAAAGAGCAAAGTTGGAGGTATCACTCCCTGAATTCAAAATATACTACAAAGCTATAGTAATCAAAACAGCGTGGTACTGGAAGAAAAATAGACACACAGATCAATGGGAAGGAATTGAAACCCCAGAAATAACACCACACATCTATGGACAGCTAGCCTTTGGCAATGGAGCCAACAACATACAATGGAGAAAGGAAAGTCTGTTCAATAAATGGTATTGGGTAAAATTGGACAGCCATATTCAAAACAATGAATGTAGACCATTATCTTACACTATACGCAAAATTACCTCAAAATGGATTAAAGACTTGAATGTAAGACCTGAAGCCATAAAACTCGTAGAAGAAAACATAGGCAGTACACTCTTTGATGTTGGTCTTAGCAGTATCTTTTTGAATACCATGTCTACTCAGGCAACAGAAACAAAAGAAAAAGTAAATAAATGGATTACATCAGACTAAAAGGCTACTACCCTGCAAAGGAAACTATCAACAAAATGAAAAGACAGCCCACCAACTGGGAGAAAATATTTGCAAATCATATATCCAACAAGGGGTTAATTTCCAAATATATAAAGAGCCCAGACAACTCAACAACAACAAAAAAGGAATCACCCAATCAAAAAATGGGCAGAAGATATGAACAGGCATTTTTCCAAAGAAGATATACAAATGGCAAGCAGGCATATGAAAAGTTGTTCAACATCACTAATTATTAGGGAAATGCATATCAAATCTTCAATGAAATATCACCTCGCACCCATCAGAATAGCTAGAACTAACAAGACAAGAAATAACAAGTGTTGGAGAGGAAGTGGAGAAAAAGGAACCTTCATACACTTCTGGTGGGAATGCAAACTGGTGCAACCACTATGGAAAACAGTATGGAAATTTCTCAAAAAACTAAAACTAAAAATACCCTATGATTCAGCTATTCCTCTATTGAGTATTTATCCAAAGAACATGAAATCAACAATTCAAAGAGATTTACGCATCCCTATGTTCATCACAACATTATTGACAATAGCCAAGACATGGAAGCAACCCAAATGCCCACCAACAGATAAATGGATAAACATATGTACAATGGAATACTACTCAGCCATAAAAAACACAAATTCATGCCATTTGCAGAAACATGAATGAAACTTGAGGATATTACATTCTGTGAAATAAGCCAGACAGAGAAAGACAAACATGGTATGATTTCTCTCATATGTGGAAGATAAACAAACAAACCCAATGGTAAGGAGAACAGATTGGTGGTTACCAGATGGGAAGGTGGTGGGGCGTAGGGTGAAAGAAGTAAAGAGGGACAGAAGTATGGTGACCAATAAAATCAGACTCTTGGTGGTGAACATGACACCATCTGTACAGAAACTGAGATATGATAAGGTACACCAGAAATTTACACACTGTTATAAGCCCATGTAACCTCAATTAAAAAAAATATCTTGGGATATTGATGGGGATCTCATTGAATCTGTGAATCACTTTGGATAGCATTGATATCTTTTTTTTTTAATTTTTTGTTTATTGCAGTAACATTGATTTATAACATTGTAAAAATTTCAGGCGTACATCGTTATACTTCTATTTCTGCATAGATTACATCATGTTCACCACCAAAATACTAATTACAACCCATCACCACACACATGTACCGAATTATCCCTTTCACCCTTCCCCTCTGGTAGCCACCAATCCAATCTCTGTCCCTATGTGTTTGTTTATTGTTGTTATTATCTATTACTTAGTGAAGGAAATCATACGGCATTTGACCTTCTCCCTCTGACTTATTTCACTTTGCATTATACCCTCAATGTCCATCCATGTTGTCACAAATGGCTGGATTTCATTGTTTCTTATGGCTGAATAGTATTCCATCGATATCTTGATATTATTAAATCTTCCAATTCATGATCATGGGTTGTTGTTCCAGTTATTTGCATCTTCTTTAATTTTGTTTACCAATGTCTTATAGTTTTTAGTACATTAGTCTTTCATCTCCTTGGTTAAGTTTATTCCTAAGTATTTTATTCTTTTTGATGCAATCATAATCGGAATTGTTTTCTTAATTTCCTTTTGGATTGTTCATTGTTAGTGTAAAGAAATACAAGCGATTTTTGTGTTTTGCTTTGTATCCTGTGACTACCCTGAATTTCTTTATTAGTTCTAATAGTATTTTTGTGGAATTTTTAGAGTTTTCTATGCATAAAATCGTGTTGTTTGTGAACCAAGATAATGTTCCTTCTTCTTTTCCAATTTGGACACCTTTTATTTTCTTTTCTTGCTTAATTTCTCTGACTTCATCTTTCAGTACTATATTGAACATAAGTGGTGAGAATGGGCATCCTTGCCCTGTTCTTGATCTTAGCAGAACGTCTTTCAGTCTTTCACTATTGAGTATTAAAAGATGTGGGATAATGCCAGATACTTTTTCTGCATCAATTGACATGATCACATGTTTGATTTTTTCTCTTCATTCTGTAAAAGTGATGTACTAAATAGATTAATTTTCATATGTTGAACTATATTTGCATTCCAGGAGTAAATCCCACTTGAAAATGGTGTATAATCCTTTCAATATGTTGTTCAATTTGTTCTGCTAGTAATTTGTTGAGGATTTTTGCATCCTATCTTTCGTAAGTGGTGTGGTTCTTTAGTTTTCTTTACTTGCAGTGTCTTTGTCTAGCTTTGGTATCAGGATAATGCTGGCCTTATAGAATGAGTTTGGAAGTATTTCCTCCTCTTCAATTACCTGGAAGAGTTTGAAGATATTTGGTGTTAATTCTTCTTTAAATGTTTGCTAGAAATCACCATGAAGCCATCTAGACCTGGACTTTTCTTTCTTGGGCACATTGTATTTAATTTGTTGCTTTACCCTTTCTCTCATGAGATTGTAAACTCTTAACAAGCAGAGATAGCGTACTATTGTTGTCTTAAACTTCTCCAGCACCTGGCACAGTTCTTAAATATATAAGATATTCTAAAAGTGTTGGTTGAATGAAGGAATGAAGGTGAGCTGTTGTTATAACATCAGGCAGTAGGAAGCTCTAACGAAGCTAGCAATCAAGGCATTCATTTTCATAGAAGGAATAAGAAAGTATATCCTCGTGAAACTTTAGACTTAGATTAAGCCCAAGTACTTTCAGTTTTCCAAAATGTGTTAAAGATGTTTGGCTGTAACTCACGCATTCCTTATAAGCTGAATCATTTCTCATACTCATAATTCTTTCAGGATCTCAGAAGTTCTGTGCTTAAAATCAGCAGTTTTCTTGAGAAAGAACTGAGTGACGAGGATGTGGAAGCTATTGTGAAACAGGCTACATTTCAGAACATGAAGTTTGATCCACAAGCAAATTATCAGCATCTTCTAAAACATGAATGGGGGACAAGAACAAATGAGGGAGATTTCTTACGCAAAGGTGATACTCAGTGGTTATAGAAACAAAAGTGTTGAGTCCTTGGCCCCTGCACTAATTAAGGAGTGCTGCCAACATTTTTTTTCCAAGTAATGCCATATAAGGCCCCGAGAGAATCAAAGATCCTAACTGAAAACAGCCCCGAGAAGCGTCTCAGGAAACCAAATCGTTCTTTAGTACAGAGCCTGACACTTAAACCTGACTAATAAACATTAGATTTCTTCTTTCTAGTCCATGTTACCTACTCCTTAAAATTTGCTAGCAAGTGTTACTTAAAGGCAGTGGAAATATGTGACCAGGAGAACTCCAATTCTTGTTTCCCTTTATTTCTCCTAGAACATTCTAGAAGGAAACTTAATATTAATTTTATTGTGGGGAATTGAGTTTTTATTACTGTTATTAACACAGTCTGCTATGGATTCACCTATTCAACAACGTGCAAGAAATTTTTATTCTGCTCCTATAACATGACAGGAGTTAAGAATGAATGTTAAGAGTGAATATATTTTCTTCCTGATAGTCTTTAAATTCAAAAATTTTTTAATTTAAATTTTTAATGTATATCATTCCAAAACATAATTTGTAATTTTTTATTTTATTCATATTTTATTCTCTAATTTGTTCATAACAGCATTATGATGATGCAAATTGATTAATTCTTAGTTATGTAAAGATTTTTTGATATTGCTGTAGATATTGATATTTTTAAAAATAATTGCTTCTTCTTTTGTCTCATTTATTATCACTTTGATTTATCATTGCTCCGCTAGATCAGATATAAAGCTTATCTCATGTCCATAATTGCTTGCTAACTTTTCCAAATGACAATGTTTACATAAGAAAATCTGATAGCTGAAAATGTCAAACTATTAATCTCTATTAAAAGTTTGGCTTAATGATGGTTTCAAACTTTCATCAAGTAAAACTGCAGCCATGGCAGCTCTAGGAACCCTCTGTGACTTTGACATCATTACTTGAAAATCTTTGGGTTCTCAGTTTTTCCATTTTGAAAATGAAGAAATACCTTGTAGGGTTGTGTTAAGATTTATTTTACATGATAGACGTACTTTGCCAAATATGGTGCCTGGCATTTAGTAAAATATATTTAAATATTCTAATTTTTTCATATTTTAGTTTTGTTTTTCCTTTCAAAGAAAGATTATAATTTAGTGGTAGTGGTTGGTGGAAGTCTATCAGATAAGGAAGTGGTCTGTAACTCTGTATTCTGTGTTAACGGTGTTCCTAAGTTTGTTCCTTAGCTCCTCCTTGTATAAGAAAAAGGGAAGTATCAAACCCCACGGAGACCTAACCGATTTTTAGTTTGGCTTGCGGGACAAATTAAAGAGGGTTGCAGGAAACTTTTGTCCTGATAGCGCTACTTCCTCACCCAGGTGCTGTTCATGTGCTTGTCTGACTAGGTACCGTTGGAGACTGGAAACATCACTTGACTGTGGAGCAAAATGAGAGATTTGACAGGATATTCCAAAAGAAGATGAAAGATTTTCCCTTGAAGTTCATCTGGGATATAAATGAGGAGGAGAATTAGTGCAAAAGAATCATGTGGAAAATCCACTAACTAGAAAGCATACTTTAATATACATGTTAATTTGTGCTCCTCATACAAGCGTTAATTATAAAACATTATTAATAAAAAATGAATAAACTATGTTTAGATTAGTTTCCACGAGTCTGATGAATACTTTGAAATTTCAAAAATTAAGTTATTTGGAAGATAGCTTGTATTGGTAGCCTGTATGACGAAGTGAAAAACAGAAAGCATGGGACATGAATTGTAAATGTCTTGAGAGACTTTTCTGTAGTGCATATTTTTTCTTTAACTACAATTAAATTTAGGATAAATCAAACATTAAAAATCCTTTTATTCTTTAATTAAACTTTGATTCCTTGGTTTAAAATCAGTATGAATGTCAGTATAAATAGAGAACTCACATGTAAACACACGCATCTGTTTAACAATTACCGGATCACAAAGTTTGCACTAAAGATCAAGGATCAAAGACAGATTAATCATCTAACTATTCAGGTGAAAAAAATAGTTGTATCCATAACATATCATTCACTAAACTGATTTCACATGTGGTTAATATTTAAGATAAAATCATTTTGAATAACTAGAAAAATGTAGATGAATCTGTTAATCATTTCAAAATAGAGAAAAACTTTTGAAGCATAAAAGCAATAGAAGCCACTTAAAAGAAAAAATTTAGTAAATTTAAAATCATGAACATTTCAAGGCATCACCATCCGTAACAGTCAACAAGTAGAAATAATCCAATGTCCACGTACAACCAAGTAAATAAGGAAAATGTGGCCTCTCATATAAGGAAATACTGTACATCAGTACAGATGCATGAATTACAGCTATGTGAAAAAGATACATGAATCTCGGAAACATTATATTCAGTGGAAAAAAGCCAGACAGTTATTGCCCAGTTCATTATATGAGATTAAAATCAGGTAAAAAATCAGTCTACGGCTTTAGAGAGAGAGTGAGAGAGTGGTTACCTATGGGGGATGGTGTAGCATCTGGACAGGCAAATGAGAGAATCCTGGGGTCTTGGCAATATCCTGTTTCTTGGTCTTAGTGCTGATTCCATAGATGTGGTCACTTGGTGTATATTTATCAGGCTGTGCACATATGACTTGTCAATTTTTCTGTATTTTGTCATATTTTAATAAAATTTGGGAAATAATTCATAAATATGAACATTTTCTGTAAGACTCGGCCAGCAAAAAGCTTGCAGTTTATAGGAAAGACAAAACATTAATTCATAATTAACAAAAGTTTAAAAACTGGAGAATGCTCAATGTTAGAAAAACTAGGGTAAGCAAGGTTATCATTCAAAATGGAAGGAGAGATCAAAAATTTCCCAGACAAGCAAAAATTAAAGGAGTTTGTCACCAAGAAAACAGTGCTATAAGAAATGTTAAAGGGACTGACTTAAGGGGAAAAGAGAAGACCACAAATAGGATAAATTATCTATTTCCATGTTAAGAGGGTAATGGATACAAAAGCACAAAAAAGAGGTTAGACATGATATCAAAAACATAAAAGGAGGGAGGAGGGGAGTTGAAGAGTACAGCTTTCAGATAGAGGTCAAACTAAAGTGACCATCAATTCTGTATAGAAGAAGAAAGGAACAGAGAAGGACTACTAAAACACTGAGGAAAAAAAAAAGTTAAAAAATGGCAGTAAGTACATACTTATCAATAGCGACTTTAAACGTCAATGGACTAAATGCTCCAAATAAAAGGCATAGGGTGGCTGACTGGATAAAAAAACAAGATCCATATGTATGCTGCATACAAGAGACACACTTCAGACCTAAAGACACTCACAAACTGAAAGGGAAGGTATGGAAAAAGATACTCCACGCAAATGGCAATGAAAAGAAAGTTGGGGTAGCAGTACTCATATCAGACAAAATAGACTTTAAAACAAAAACTGTAAAAAGAGACAAAGAAGGGCATTAC